CTTCGTCTTCGACTTCGCTCTGGTTAGGCCAAACTAGCCTGTTGGTAACTGGTTCTCTCTCAAGAGGCTTTCTTTGTTTCCTTTGAGGCACATTCGAACTAGTTTCTGCCTTAGGTTCGTTGGCAGCCTCCCTTTCAGCTTTTCGCCTTCTTTGATATCTCCTCCATTGGGATCTCGACATAGGATTTTTTCCCTTGTAGTTGCTGGACACTTGAGCAACCTTGGGTGCAGCAACTTGAGGCTCTTTCTTCTGAATTAAAGAGGAACCTCTTGGCACTTCGAAAGAATGCCATTTCTCTTCACTTGGCCTTTTCCGGCCAGATGTTTTGTACCAAGTGTCTACTGGTACATTTGTTGGAGGCCTAAAAGTCAATGGCCTCTTGTCTTGATTAGAACCCCTTTTGGGCTCATGTCGAAGGTCAGCATTCTCCCTTCTCTTGTTCGCTGCTCTCACGCCTTGTATGTGCTCAGCAGCTTTTTTATCAAAGATAGAACTGCATCTTGGACACAGCATCACCTCTGATTTCTTCTTCTGGCATCTTTGTAAAAAATCTGCCAAGTTTTCGTTTTCCCTAGGGAAAGCCGTTTTATTAGCCTGCTCTTGCCTTATGGCTTCTTCTGAAGCTTTAGGGTCAGAAAGTTCAACCATGTTGATATTCATTGTATCCTTATTAGCAAGAGTCAGTTGCTTCATTTGAGTCTCCAGATTCTCCGTCTGGCCTTGTACAGTGGCCAAGTGGGAACTGGGCTTTGGTCCAGTTTTTTGTGCTTCAGCAGTCTTCGACTTCGGGTCTTCGACCGCTTTCTGGACAGCCTCAATTGTCTTCCTGGATAAATTTCCAGAAAAACTGCCAAAGATTGGCATGTTGATGTGGTCCTTTGAGACTTCGACCATGGTAATGCCTGGCTTCTTCGACTGGATCCTGGTTGCCTCTATCATGTTCACCTCAGAGGGTTCTGCATAGTGGGCTTCAGCCTTCAGTGGATTGGAGTCGACAGCCATGGGGGATTTGTCAGCAAACTTTAATCTCCCTTCCTCAATCGCGTCTTGCACAAGATTCCTGAAAAGAAAACATTGAGAAGTTTTATGGCCGAGAAAATTATGATATTTGCAAAAACCTCTCTTCTTTCTTTGATCAAGAGGAGGCACTTTTACCCCAGGGGGTACTATCATTTGGCCATCTTTAACTAGTAAGTCGAATATTTCATCACATTTTATGATGTCAAAACTATAAGTCTTTTTTGGGAACCTATCATTGGACCTGTCTGGACCAATGGGATTTTTCCCATTTGAGGGGACTAATTGTTTACAAGAGTATGGTGGCCCTTGCTTTAGTTCTGCTAAATCGACTTCTCCTTCTTCGACAGCTAAAGTATCGTCGAAGGATTCTAGATCTTCGTCATCCATCTCAACGTACGCTATTCTTTCTCTCTTGTGAGTTTTCGTTGCCTTAGCTTTCTCAGCTTTGAGGCGTTCGACCTGTCGAACTCTATCGGCCAGTTGGGCCATGTCTCTTAGGTACTGGGTGTCTAGCTTCTTCCTAATGGAATAATCTAAACCGCCTGCAGCTATTTCGACCAACTCATGCTCTGGCACTTGTGTAAAACATCTCGCCTTAAGCAACCTAAACCTATTCAGATATTCGTCTATAGGTTCAGTGAAACGTCTCTTCACACTCGCCAGTTCTTTCAGGCTTATCTTGGTTTGCCCCATGTAGAATTGTTCATGGAACAATCTTTCCAACTGGGTCCAATGGTGGATCGAATTGGGGGGGAGAGTTGTAAACCAAGTAAAAGCGTTCTTGGTTAAAGAACTTGGGAAGTACTTGATCCTTAGGTTTTCGTTATTCGAAATGTCTCCTGCTTCGATCAAATACCTCGCCACATGTTCGACAGTAGATTCTGTCGTGTCCCCAGAGAACTTAGTAAATTTGGGGACTTTGCTTCTAGGAGGTAGGTCAGTTTGTAACACATATTCTGACAATGGAGATGTAAAGTTGGGCCTTCTAAAGCCCATGTTCATTCCATTCTGAGTCATGATTCTTTCGATCATGGTTGCCAGATTATTTTCCAAACCCATGTTTTGGTGTTGGATATGCTGAACCACTTCGTCAGCATTTTGGTTTCTGTTAACTAACCTTACCTCTGGGGCTATTACCCTAGGTTCTTCGACAGGTTGTTCTACAGGCTGTTGGGCCTGATTAATGGTGGTTTCTTCCTCTACAAATATCCCCTGATTTCCCCTTATTTGCGCCCTTTGGGGCTGTCGAATAGGTGGGGGTACCCCAAAGAAGTCAGCCAAACGCGTCATTTGCGCTGTAACTTGCTGATTCGATTGAGTAGTATTTTGTATTAGAGGATTTAGCACGGTACTCAAAGTTTGTGCCAACATTTGCACCATATCATGGTTGCTTTCGTCCATCTGTTGCCTCAAGACTGCTGTCGAGGCATTTGTAAGGCCATGGGCTAGTTGGGACGTTCCTCCTAAGAGTTGGGTCCTGTTTCTATTCGCCATGCCTACTCCAGAGCCTTGGAGTGGCGAAGAGGCACTCACGAAAGGGTCTGAATAAGTGGACGCAGCATTCGTCAGGCTTGCCACTTCAGAAGTTGGCATACCATAGAATGGAATAAATCCTGGGGGAACCACAGGCCTTGTGCCTATATTTCCCCTTGGAGGGGGAGTTCCCAAAGGTATTCTGGGGCCTGAAAACGAAGTTATTGGCCCCATGGTTGTGACTGACACTGCTGGTGTCGAACCAACATTCGTCGCTTCACTAACGGTCATATTAACCGTTGCTCCCACACTTGGTGGTGGAATTTCGTTGTTGTTTGGCGGATTCGCCATCTCTTCCCTTCTTCTGGCAGTATTGTTATCGTTAGTGTATATTCTACCACTCCTCAATAACATACAACTCGAAAGATGAGATTATTTTTCAACAATCAACACACGGTCCCACCGGGTGTGCCAATTTGTTTACCTTGGGTTTTGGTAAACAACCGCTGATCCTCCAAATGGTTACTTATTTGGTTACTCGCAGGATCGATCAGATTGATCCTATGGACATAGGTTGATTTTGAAGTTTGATTAAGGTGGATAAGGCTTTAAGTAAAATGCTTCAAGTAAATTGCATAAAGGAAAGGCTTGGTAAAATAAACAAGGCTTTAAAGTAAAGGTTCGACAGGAATTTAAAGGGGAAAAGCATGTAAAATACTGGAAAGGTAAATGACTTTAATTGATAAAAATTGGTGTTTCACACATACATTTCTCAACAATTCTTTCGCTCACACTGGGTACTTGAATCTAAATGAGTGACTATGTATATGATTGTGAACACACGCGAGAAACTACATGTCTACTCCTATTTATACTAAAACATTCCAAGTAACCGTCGGGCAGTTACACTGCTTCGAGATTAAGCCACTTGGCACGTCCTCCATGCTCGACACTCCAGATCCTTGCACGTTTGCACGTAGTAACTGCTGGAAACCGTTTTCCCTCCAAAGCTTTGAATTTCAAACTGCTCCACTCTGGACCGTCGAACACTTTCATCAAGAGACGTCTTCGACGAAAACTCCTTCGACGTCGAAGGCAATCAGCCTTCTTCCTTGGAAGAAATCTTCTAAGTATTTTGCCATCTTTCGACGGGCACTTCGACAGGCTTAGCCAGTCGAAAGCATCTTTCAGCTTTAAATGGCTGCCATCAATCAAAACAAAGGTGTCGAATTTAGGAGCCAACACATACACAGATGGAGATTATTTCAAAAACAATTTGAAATCAGATTAACACAATTACTATTCAGAATCTCATTCATATTCACACAACCATAAAAGAAAATACTAACACCGATATGAGTATCAATCATATTTAACACCAATAACAACAATGTTAGCAACAAGTCCTCATTCAGGAAAATAACATGGCTTACATTAAACTATTAACCTAATTTCATTATTTCTAATTCAACATTAACACCTTAAAACAAAATCAGCACCAACAGTATCATGAAAATACCAAAAGAAACTCAAAAGAAAGATGATAGTGATGCTTACAACGACTGGTGTCACGGTGAAGATTGTTGGCTGGAGCAGGAAGCCAGGATGGAGCTAGTTGTATGTTGTGACGAAAGAAGCACGGAGGGAGTACGTCGTCGCTGAATGGTGTGTTGGTTGTTGTTCGTGAACAGATAATGGAAGAAGAAACGAACGAACAGGAACAGGAACGGCGGCAGGAATGAGAGAACGGCGGCAGAAACAGGAACAGGAACGGCGGCAAGAAACGAACGAACAGGAACAAGAAGACGAAGAAATGAACAAGTGAGGGCAAATTTCGTATTTAGGGAAACAACCTACGAAAGCGCTTCTAAAAGCGCTTTCTAAGACCCATATATGAGAGCGTTTCTGAGGTAAAAAGCGCTTTCGTAGGAAACCCTATAAAAGCGCTTTTTTTAAGCGAATTTTTTTTAAAGGCTACGAAAGCGCTTTCTCTTAAAAGCGCTTTCGTAGATGCGCTGCCAAAAATTGTTTTTTTCGTAGTGTATTGGAATATTATGGATTCCAGTTGTTTTGATTTATCTAATGGATATTTAGATTTAGTATTCAATATATTTTGTCTTTTGTTGGGGTTGCTCGCACACTTGGGCAAGATTTGAAATATGCAGCAACTAAAATTGAGGTTCTAGTTTTTTAGAGATTCTACACTAAAAAGGGGAAGAACATTAAATTGACTAAATAAAATAAAGGAAGATAAAAGACTTTTTCATTTGATTCTTGATTATTTTACCATCTCACAATGAGTACATACATATATAGTAGTAGTAATGGATAGTAACTAAAGGCCCAATAACTAATTAAAATCCACTTAAATAATATTTTAAGGTCCTAATAACATTCTAAAAAGCATTACAAATTAAATAACAGTAATATAAATTGTACTTCTAATTAATCATAATCCTTACTCTATCATTGCCACCATGTTCACTTGAAATTTGTCCCCAAAATTCTAAAACCAATATGAGAATAAAGATATTGTTCCTAAAAAATTGTCACTCTGATTATTTACAACACAAATTTTAGAATTTGAGAATTCAATTTTCTCATATAAGGCGATGCCTCTTCTTGGACATCGAAGGCTTTTGTGGGTTGCTGAGGTAACAATGTCACACATTAAAACAACTTCATATTTATCAACAACCTTCCATAATCCCATTCTCTAGGTTAAGAACTTTCCCCACAGATAAGAATCTTAGGTCTATAATATGCTGCTTTCTCCTCTCGCTTAACAACAATGGTAATATTATACTCAGAACAACCTTGTGCTATAGCACGGACATTTATACTGGGCTTGGCCAATGCATTGAAAATGGTGGCACTAATTCCAGGAGGGCTTGCCAATTTCTGACCAACAGCCGCCAAAATGCTACAATTCGGAATAATTGCAACTTGAGAAATACGCCCATTATCCAAAGCCTAACGAAATCTTGATTGCAATGCCTCGGCAATAACTCTTACTTCCTTCTCGAGAACAACAAAGCATATATGATGCTCACTACTAGCTTGAGATATCGTGATATCATTATCTCCAACATCTTTGACTACACAAAAAATATCACTTGTTGTACCTGGAACACCGACCATTCCAGTTCCCTCAACATTTACAAGTGCCAAGTTGTCTATAGTTGCAAATTCTTTGACAAAATTTTGTAGATTCGCCATATATCCATTATCATTAACAGCAGGGTGACATATCTTTGTCATAGGGGCAGAAAGGTTGAAGATATTCCTTATCAAAATGGGTATGCCATATTTCATGACATGAATTATTGTGCGGGGATGCAAGACATTAGCTCCAAAATAAGACATTTACCATGCTTCATGATAAGACAGTGTCTTCAAAATCACAACATCACTGACTTTTCTAGGATCCTCACTATACACACTATCTACATCTATCCAAATTGTGACCTGACCAGCTCTAAGTAGAGAGCCCGTAATTGCTGCCGAGAAATCACTTCCATCTCGCTTCAGTGTAGTAGGAATGTTTTTAGGTGTGCTTGCAATGAACCCAGTAGTAATGATTACCTTACATGGATTCTGATAGTACCATTTCTCAAGTATTTTCTCAGATTACAAGTAATCGGGATCCATTTGTAGTCAATACCATTCTTTCTGATAACTAGAGACAACAATTGAGAAGACCATAAGTCTCCATGTCCTACAACAAAATCTGCAGAGGATTACGTTGCATGACCAGTTATGTATATTGCCCGAAGCATCGCCTTAAGGTTGTTGATGTCTTCATGCAATTTAGACAAGAAAAAAGCGAGATTGTCTCTATCAAGTATGTCGTGTGAAGTTGAGTTGTGCTTCTCTGAAACAACATCCAAGGAATATATATAAGACTCATCACATGATTGAGCCTTAGTGATAAGCTTATACATCATATTTTTCACCTTAGACATCACAGAGACAACCACCAATCTCCTCTCATAATCATCATTGAGAACTATGTCAGCAACATTATTTATTCTTTGCGAGCTTCCCATAGAAGTTCCACCAAATTTGTGAACAAACCAAGATTCTTTATTCTTTATTTCCTTAGTCGCAGGTGGACCTGGATTGTAGATCATGGAGATAATGCGCAACACCTCTAAGGCGAAGAATCTAGAAGTGTCTCATTCTGGAATTTCATCAAACATATGATGAGTTGGTTCAAACATATGTTTGATAATTTCAGCTCCACCCATAAAATTATCCTGCAAGTCCTTCAAGCAGATCTCAAGATGAAGCTCTCTGGAATCAGCAATAACGTGTTCTTCAGACTCCTCAATGGTACATACAACCATAGGATCTTACTTAGCAAGACGTTCAAGACCTTCATCAATCTTAGGAAGATCTGAAGCAACCTTACACTGAACAATAACGCGCACAACATGGTAGATAGAAAATTTCATAGCACGAATAGGATGTGTATCAACCTCAAAGAGAGCTCGTTTGTGCGGCGAGGTAGCTTGTTCATCACAAATAATTTGCGAAAACTCAGAAATAAAAAACAGGCTTAATCGGATCTGTATGATTTTCTTTTCCATTTCTATTAACTTGAGGAACCCTGACAAGGACGGATAAGCGAGGAGTCCAGGGAGGGGAAGTTCCGGTATGAGGGCGATTGGGGATTTCATTATCGTTGAAGAGATTTCTTCGAAGAGACGAAGAAATCACTGGAGAATGAGAATTGAGTGGTGTTAGAGTGCGAGTTTTCTCTCGAGCACTGTTCTTCTGTGTTCCGCAAGAAAACACGGTTTTGTGAGATGATGTAGAGGTGGAAATGGATGCGTGTTGTTGTTTTTATTGTGAGTCAATTTTTCAAACATGTAGTGGGTGTTATTGAACGGTGTGTGACAATGACTGTGAAGCTGAAAGAAGATTGATAGATGGAAAGATGAATTGATCTTTGGAGGTATTTCTGAATCCAACACAGTTGTTTTGGGGTTTAACAGATTTAGATTTTTTTTTAAAAGAGAGAAGAGACGCGGGCCAATGTTTCTCATAATCTCTTCTATTACTAGAATGATTTTGATAGTTGTGACCAAGTGTGGATGAGGTATTTGTTGGTTGCAGTTGTTGATGATAATTATTGGAGGATTATGAATAATGAAGTAATTAATAAGATGAATATCAGTTAGGTGGAGGTTGTGTATATCCATGATTAAAATACAAACATGGTGATGGAGTTGTAACATATGAATTTGTGTAATAAGGTGAAAAGATTTCCCATGAAAAAAATAGAAATGAGGAAATGATTGGAGATGTAAAAGAGGGGTTTGTGGGATAAGTATGAGGAATGCTCCATTGATGAGATGACGGTGTATGATAAGGATAATTCATAAGAAGATTTGAGTACATAGATGAAAACACTAATTGATAGGAAACAATTTATATCAAAGTTATGAACTACAGATTCTACACTAAAAAGGGGAAGAACATTAAATTGACTAAATAAAATAAAGGAAAATAATAGACTTTTTATTTGATTCTTGATTATTTTACCATCTTTCAATGAGTACATATATAGGAGTAATAATGGATAGTAACTGAAGGTCCAATAACTAATTAAATTTCATCTCAATCGTATTTTAAGGTCCTAAGAATATTCTAAAAAGTATTACAAATTAAATAACAATAATATAAATTATACTTATAATAAATCATAATCCTTACTCTATCTACCTATATCTTAAAGATGACGTAATGAATTCTTCTTAGTCCCCCAATAATGCTGATAACCAATGAATACCTCGTAAGAGTCAATGATAAAGAATATCTTCTTCGCGTGTAGTCAACAATGGCTTTCATAGACCCGATCGAGTTCAAAAGTATCTCTTATTTTTCATAAATATATAATGAAGTTAATTTTATTGTAATGTAATTTTACTTTCATTTATGATATTAATGATTTATTTAATTTATCCCATGACATATTTTATTTTGTTATATTTGTTAGATATTTATTTAACTTGTTAGCTATTTAATAAAATTAACTTTACAAATTTTGTATTAAATAATAAATAATATATTAATGGTCTATAAAATAATATAAACTAATAAATAATAACAATTTTATAAACAAATAATTCATGAAAAATATGGGAACATTTGTGCCCGCGCAATGCAATTGGCGGGTGCTATGAACTTATTAACGTCATTTCAAATGTGGGCCTTCTCAGCCAATAAAATTTTGTTTGAAAAACTATGATAATTTGAGATTGTTTTAAAAAGGGTGGTAAGTTGAAGAAAAAAAAGGGAAATATGTGTTATTGCAAGAAAGTTGTTAGTGCGTGAGGTATTTTTAGTGAGGAGAGAAAGAGAGAATAATAAATTAATAAATCATGTCGAGATATTGTGATTAATGAAAATTCTTCTTGGGATTAGAATTCTGAATTTTTTTTATTAATAACCAAGTATTAAAATAATATTTCGCAAATAACCGGGTTTCAGAAAAAATTACGCAAATAACCATGTTTGAGATGACTCCACAAAGGAGGAGCCATCTCAATTAGCGCATGCACCTCTTTTTTTAAGGGAGGCGCCATCTCACTTGGCGCCTAAGTGCTTAGGGCAAGCCCTAAGCCAAGTGAGATGGCGCCTATGTACAAAATTAGGGCAAAAAATTTTTTTTTTATTTTCTTTCCTGTGCGTTGCCTATTAGACAGAGATCAACAAAATGGATTTTTTATTTAAAAAAAAAATTACATTCAACTGTTTTACATTAAAAGAACAGTAAAAAAATGGATACAAAAAATACTGGGAAAAAAAAAGATACATCAGTGATCCCCAGAAACCCGGTAATGACCCCTAGTTCCGCATCCCCGTCCTCGCCTTTCTCTTGCTGGGTGCCGTCTCGTTTCCTGTTGCGGCAAGGTCGATGGCCCAGCGAAGTCAATGCGATCCGAATCCATAAAATCAGTAAGATCTCCATATCTCGAAGATCCGCTCTGGTACAGTCGGTTACCCATACCGTCAAAGTTTGGTCGTGTTGGCGGTGGGTGGGGTTCCATGGTTGGTCGGTAGCATTGGTCGTCTGAGTATGGGGGGTAGAAAGGAAATGGATCTTGGGGTGTTTGGTATTGTGGATGTTGGGTTGTTTGGTGATATGGTGGTTGATGGTAGGTTTGGTCGGCTTGGTCATAATCTTCTGACATTCCCATATCAGGGCTAAGGCTGGATGTTGAGGGCGCCATATTGGGATATGTGGAAGACTGAAATTGTGTCTGGGGTATGTGGGTGTGCTGGTATTGGGGTTGGTATTGTGGTTGGGTTTGAGGCATATCCGGGTATTGGTAGTTTGGCGGTGATTGTGGTTGGTAGTACGACATTTGATTGTAGTTGTGTTGTGGTGGGGAATGTGGTTGTGTGTTTGTTGGTCTGTTTCTTCTTGGGGGTTGGTTTGAGGTTGATGGATTTTGGGTTTGTTGATGGGGAATCGAGGGTTGTGCCAATTGTGTGCGTGGGTCAACCAAGTACCTCGGATGAGACACGTGCATATCTGGGTTACTAACCGACCTGTACCAAGATATATATTGATCAGTGTGTCGCATGTTACCTTGAGTAAGGAAAATCGGGGATTGCAAGATGTAGCGGTGACGCCTTTGCCACATTTTACACCATTCTGGAGCAAAGTCTTTCCAGTTGGTAAGACCCCACTGGGCGTCGACCCTTTTTAGATGCCAGGGGGACAAATCTGTTGGATCACTTGGTATCTCTTGGATCATTCTGAACTGCATCTTCACACGGTCGCTGTGGTGCATCTCCATAATGTTGAACCGAATGAGTGCAGTCTTTGCAGTCCAAGTTGCTGCATCCTCTGGGTTTGGAGAATGGCCCAAACCCAAATATGGTCTCCAGACGAACTGCGATAAAATTTAAATCAGGTAAGCGCAAAAGTAATGTATAAATAATTAAAATGAACAAAAGTTAAAAGCTACGACGTACGTCATCTGGGCCTAAGTGATCCAACAGATTCCGGTAGAGTGCGACATTGAATCTGGGATTCTTGTCGTAATCCATACCCCTCACGCAGTACCTAAAGGAAATGAGAAACATGTTATTTTTAGCATATATTTTGGAAAGAGCAGAATAGTTATAAATGCTATAACTTACTGACTTACTTTGTTGCGTACGGGAAACCAAAAGTGTTGTTGTTGATGGGGTTTAAGGACTCCATCCTCCACCAACCCCAGGCTTGTAGTAAAAATGCGCACCCATAAAATGTACATTTTTCCTTGACTGTGTTTTTGCACAAGGAACTGTACAGGTGGGCTAATACTGCAGAACCCCAACTATATTTTCTAGTTTTTTCAAAATTTGTTAGTAAATGTAAGTACATGAAATTTACACTATTTCCCGTACTTTCGGGAAATAAAAATGTACCAAAAAGTATCATAATATACGTTCTGGCTTTTACTACTCGGTCATTCTCTGAGGAATTTTCATTTAATTCTATACTTGCATAATGCCGTTTCAGGTCAGTGAGTAGTATTCCCTGCCCTCTTGCTCCACCACCTTCTACCATGTCCCTACCCAACAGTTCTTCACACTGTGAGTTGGGTTGTTGAACCGACCCGCTCACCGCCTTACCGTCGATAGGGAGGCCCAGTAGCATGTACACATCTTCGAGAGTGATGGTACATTCACCTATTGGTAGGTGAAATGTATGGGTCTCCAGTCTCCACCTCTCCAACATTGCAAGAATGAATTTTGAGTCAATGGTGCAGTTGGAGATCTTTATCACATGTCCAAAACCTGCATATTCCAGATAAGGGACGATAAATGGGTCGGGAGCCAGGTATTTGTGCAAACGGATTCTGAATCTTTGTGTATCCTGAGATCATAATTAAACAAGTGTAAGATTAATTAAGATGAACAACACGTTATTTGAAGTATGAAAAATGTATAACTAAAGAAAAGACTTACAAATGCAGCAATGTTTTCCCTTGTGCCTTTGTGAGTATCTCCCATTGTTAGAAGAGTCATTGTTCAGAATGCTTGAGAGAATGAAAGACTTAGGAAGAAATAGAGAGTATGATAGACTTAAGAAATATTTCGTAACAGAGAGTGAGATTTGTGTGGGTGTGAGAGATGTTTCATAAGGTATGAATTTATAGGCAAATAAGTTTGATGTAGTGGTTGCATGCCTGTGATGTGTCACATTTGCATGCTTAGGGTGTTACACATATGCATGCATGCATTTACAAAAAATGTAAGGTGTCACTCTTGCAGGCTAGGTGGCAGCCCATGCATGTATCACGATTGGACAGTAAGGGAGGCGCCATCTCACTTGGCGAAAGAGTACAAAAATGAATGGTGTCGCCACCCCATTTGGCGAATAAGAGGTGTCACTTCTTACAGCATTGGCTCAGGCTACGTGACAGCCTTTGGGATTCCTTTCTTTGTTGCATGCAAGGCCATTGGAGTTGATGGGTGGAGTCTTACACAAAACATTTATGTGTGCAGAATAGGGCCAGGATAGGTGGCAGGCTAGGTGGCTGCATAAGCCCATGCATGTATCACGATTGGACAGTAAGGGAGGCGCCATCTCACTTGGCGAAAGAGTACAAAAATGAATGGTGTCGCCACCCCATTTGGCGAATAAGAGGTGTCACTTCTTACAGCATTGGCTCAG